TTTTTGGTCCCTAAACTTGGTTGTATGATGATTTTTAACATTGTAAGCGTGAAATCCATGGGAAAATCAGTAGCAAAAATTGGGTTTCAGGGCTTGGGAATTGGAGACCTAAACTTAGGGATTTGAGGGGTCATATGTGGTTGGATTTTGGTATATTTGGCATGTATGAACTCGTGAGAGTATAAGGATTCAAGTTTTGTGAAATTTATCAAAATCCAAGATGTGGGCCCGGGGGGTCGGGTTTTGACCAATTTTGGGATTTTGATGTAATTTGAATATTTTCGAGTGGGCTTTGTTCCCTTAGCATATTTTGATGATTATATACTGATTTTGGTTAGATTTGGAACATTTGAAGGCCAAATCGAGAGGCAAGGGCATCGCGGTCTAGAGTTTGGCTTGGCTTGAGGTAAGTAACGCTTCCAAAGTTGGTTCTGAGGGTTCGATACTCCAAACTATGTGTTCTATGATTACTATTGAGGTGACGCAGTGCCAAGTGAAGGGCGTGTGGGCGTGCACCATGAGAAATGCGGCCTGGATCATTCCATGGCACCGCCTAGTGACTCTTTCATGTTGATACCTGTGTTGTAATTATGTGATTAAGTTAATAAGTTGCAAATCATGCTAATTATCATGTTAAGGCTTCACGCAAACACTCTTGAGACCCGAGAGGTCGTTTCTTGCTGTCAAGTCATTAGCTTCATCCACAATCTATACTCAGTCCTGTTCATGCATATTATATCATGCCTTAGTCTCGATTATTGTTATTTGACATATCATATCATTGTTCGGGCATGCATCATGACATTTTAACCCGTGTGTGTGAGACTGGAGAGTATTGACTGAGTGAGGCAGAGAGCCTGATATTGATCGACAGTATAGGATCGGGCTACACGCCGTAGCGAGATATTGATCATACCTTCGCTGGCATTGATATAGTGCTTGGGCTAAGAGAAGCCCCTCCGAAGTCTTTACACCCCCAGTGAGCACAGTTAATAATATTGAGGGATGGATCTTCCCTAGACATGGATCTTGTCCGAAGTATTGGTATGGAGATGGATCTTCTCCATGAGGCTGGATTGGCTTGTTTCCTCGGTACTGGGCGACTTATAGTCTATGATGTGTATACATTCTTGGATGGTCCTTCACTGGGCTGAGTGGGACGTATACAGTACCGAGTGGTTGAGCATTGTGAGTTGAAGTATTATATGTAACATTGATCATGCTATCTATGCATTGGTACTTAGAGTTTTCCTGAGCTTTATACTCTGTATCGTTCATACTGTGTTTAATTATTGTTGAGAAATTTCATGAACTGTAAGCATGTCTACTTTTCCGTACAATTAATTGTTAAAACCGGTTGATGTTTGGTCTGTCATTACCGTCAGCCCATAGTTTGGACTTGTTACTTACTAAGTTTGTGTACTCACGTTACCCCCTGCACCCCTGTGTGCAGATCCAGGGATCTCGTGGCATGGTAGCGGTTGTTGATCTTGCCGGTTGGAGACTTTCTGTGGAGATTGCGAGGTAGCTGCTTGGCGATCGCAGTTTCGCCTTCTCCTTTCTTATCTTCCTTTAGTATGTTTATTTGGATATTCTCAGACTGTGTTGGTCATGTTATTTCGAACAAATGTAGTAGTTTTGGCTCATGACTTAGTGAAACCCGAGATCGGGATTGTGTTTCTTTCCGCTGAATTTTGATTTCTACTTTTATCTTATTGACTTTCTGTTAAAAAATTATGATTTTCCTTAAGTATTTATTTGAAAAATGGATTATTTGGAAATAAGTGGCTGGCCTAGTATCTAGATAGGCGCCATCACGACATGGTTAGATTTTAGGTCGTGACAAAAGCCCTTCTCACCTGACTGTCAAATATGAGGGCTATTATGTAAAGAGAGTCATGCTAGATAGTGGTTCCAAGGTTGATATTTGCCCTCTCTCAACGCTCCAGAGAATGGAGATTGGAACAGAGAGAATCTGAGCTAACAACGTCTGTGTACGAGATTTTGATGGTGTCAAGCGAGAGACAATAGGGGAAATTGATTTGATTTTGACCATTGGCCTCGTGGATTTCGAAGTAACTTTCCAGGTTCTAGATATGGACACCTCATACAATTTTCTCTTAGGAAGACCATGGATTCATGCTGCAGGATCTGTTCCCTCCACTCTCCACCAAATGGTCTAATTTGAATCTGAAAATTATGAAGTTGTTGTCCATGGGGAGGATGAACAGTCCATTTACAGGGACCCTTCAGTCCCGTGTCTTGAAGTTAGGGAAGGAAGCGAGCATATTATATACCAAGCCTTCGAAATTGTGGTCGCCAACCAATGTGAAGAAGGGGCCCCATTACCTCAACCGTGCCTGTCTAATGCTTCGGTCATGGTTGCCACTCAAATGATTAGACATGGGTACAAGACCGGAAAGGGGCTCGAGGTATCTCTATAAGGCATCATAGAGCCTATTACTACGATCGCTATTAAGAAGTTTTTCGGCGTGGGTTTCAAAGCTACAGAGGCCGACAGAAAATGGGCTAATGAGCCCAAAGAAAAAGGGTGGGTCCTGCCCTATCCCATTCCACACCTCACCCGGTCATTTGTCAAACCCCAATATGTGGAGGAAGAAGAAGAGGTCTTCATAGCCGAAAAGATTGATGATATTTGTAAAGCCATGAAACAAATATTGTATGAGTCTCACATGGTCCAGCCTGAGGAAAGCACGAGAAATGCCGAGGTGCTGTACATGGGAACAGATGCCAAGCTTCAAAATTGGAAAGCTACCCCATTCCCTGTCATACGGGAGTCCCGGTAGTCCAGTCTTGCCATCTCTTATACATTATGAGTTATTCCATGGTGTAACTCGAATGTTTTTACTTTATTGTCTTTGATTTTGATGTGAACCCTCATATCTTCAATTCAATAAAATGGAATCAATATTTTATCGTCAATAGATGTTTCCTTTTTCTTTATTCTGATTTTGTTATTTTTCTTATCTTTTTTCTTTTCACTTCTAATAATGCGGACTTAAATAAATAACATGCTTGCGGACTTCATGCCCATATCCTAAAACAATGTCTAACTGTGAAATAATGAATCAAGAACCAGAATATGATGAAGATGAGGCTTTTAGGGAAATAAATCGCAAATTGGAACAATTTGAGAATAAGCCTAAGCCAAACTTAAATGAAACCAATCCGGTTAACTTGGGCAGTCCAGAAGAGGTCCGAGAAACCATGATAAGCATGCACGCCGATGAATGAACTAGAGATACTCAGAACAAACTTTTGTTTGAATTCAAAGACATGTTTTCATGGTCCTATGATGATATGCCAGGTTTGAGCATTGATTTGGTGGTACATAAATTGCCAACTTATCCCGGTTATCCACCCGTTCAACAGAAATAGAGAAAGTTCAAAACAGATATCACCTATAAGATCAAAGAAGAAGTCACCAAACAATTGAAAGCTGGTGTCTGGTCCGATACACCACATGGCTAGCTAATGTGGTTCCGGTGCTGAAAAAGGGGAAAATCTGAGTGTGTGTTGATTATTGGGATTTGAACAAAGCAAGCCCCAAGGACAACTTTCCATTGCCAAACAAGCAAATTCTTATCGGCAACTATGCCAAACATGAGGTACAGTATTTCGTGGATTGTTATGCTAGGTATCACCAGGTTCTGATGGATGAAGAAGATGTGGAAAAGACGGCTTTCACCACACCTTGGGTCACTTACTGTTTTAGGGTCATGCCATTCGGTATGAAAAACACCGGGGCAACCTACATGAGAGCTATGATTGCCATCTTCCATGACATGATGCACCAGGAAATTGAGGTGTATATGGATGATGTAATCATTAAATCTAGAATGCAAGAAGGCCATGTGCGATATTTGAGGAAATTCTTTGAACGTCTGCGCAGGTATGACTTGAAATTGAACCCAACTAAATGTGCATTCGTAGTTCTGTCCGAGAAACTACTGGGATTTATAGTCAGTCGGAGGGATATTGAATTAGATCCAACAAAGATAAAGTCTATTTGGGATTTGCCACCTCCGAAAACCAAGAAAGAGGTCATGAGTCTGCTAGGGAGATTGAATTACATCAGCAGATTCATTGCTCAGATCACTACCACTTGTGAGCCCATATTCAAACTATTAAAGAAAGACGCGGTGATCAAATGGACAAATGAGTGTCAAGAAGCTTTTAATAAGATCAAAGAATATCTATCAAATCCGCCCGTGCTGGTTCCACCTGAGCTAGGAAGACCTTTGTTCTTGTACCTAACAGCCTTGGAAAATTCTTTCGGTTGTGTAATGGGGCAGTACGACGTGACTGGGAAGAGAGAGCAAGCCATCTATTAACCAAGCAAGAAGTTCACCAGTTATGAAGCTAAATACACTTTGTTGGAAAGAACTTGTTGTGCCCTAACTTAAGTTGCACATAAGCTCAAACAATATATGTTGGCCTACACAATGCATCTCATAACCAGAACGGATCCTCTGAAGTATATATTCCAAAAAACAGTGCCCATGGGGAGGCTAGCAAAATGGCAGATCCTGCTCACCGAGTTCGACATAGTCTATGTCACCTACACGGCAATAAAAGCCCAAGCCTTGGCAGATCATCTAGCTGAGAACCCCGTCAATGATGAATACCAACCCCTAAGCACTTACTTCCCGGACGAGGAAGTAAACTCAGTTGAAGTAGTTCAGGAGAACACCAATGCCTGGAAAATATTCTTCGATGGGGTTGTAAATGCAAAAGGTGTCGGGATTGGAGCAATTCTAATTTCGCCCACAGGTCAACAGTATCCAGCCACAACCCGGCTCGGTTTTTTCTGTACAAACAACACTGCCAAATATGAAGCCTACATTATGGGCATAAATATGGAAGTTGATCTGGATGTAGAGGAGTTGTTAATCATGGGGGATTCTAATTTGATCATTCGGCAAGCCCAGGGTGAATGGGAAACTCGAGACATCGAACTCATCCCATACATGTAACATATGGAAGATCTTAGCAAACGGTTCAAGTCCATCGAGTTCATGTATATTCCTAGATTCCACAATGATCTAGCTGATGCACTAGCTACTCTGGCCTCAAGGTTGCCGTACTCGGGAAATGTTCATATTGACCAGCTGGAAATCCAAATTCGAGAAAGGCATGGTTATTGTAATGCAATTGAAATGGATCTAGATGTTCAACCATGGTATCATGAAACCAAAAGGTTAATGAAAACAAAAGAATATCCCGAATAGGCCAGTGGAGATCAAAGAGAACTATTAGAAGGCTTGCAAGCAGTTTCTTTTTTAGCGGAGAGGTCTTGTACAAAAGAACTCTAGATCTGAATCTTTTGAGGTGCATAGATTCTGGAGAAGCTGAAAAGGTCATGAACGAAGTGCATTCGGGAGTATGTGGGCCTCACATGAATGGATACGTCCTTGCAAAGAAAATCCTCCGGGCAGGGTATTACTAGATGACCATGGAAAAAGATTGTTTCAGTTTCGTCCGGAAGTGCCATTAGTTCCAAATACATGGTGACCTGATTCATGCACCACCTTTTAAGTTACATCCTATGTCAGCGCCTTAGCCGTTCGTTGCTTGGGGCATGGATGTTATTGGGACGAAAGAACCGAACGCTTCAAATGGGAACAGATTCATTCTGGTTGCCATTGATTCTTTCACAAAGTGGGTTGAAGCATCACTTTCAAAGCTGTCACCAAGAAAGTAGTGGTAGGCTTTATGCATTCCAATATTATTTGTCGTTTTGGTATTCCTAAGACTATCATTACAGACAATGCTGCAAATCTGAACAGCCACTTGATGAGGGAGGTATGTGAGTAATTTAAAATTACGCATCGTAATTCTACCCCTTATCGGCCCAAAGCTAATGGCACTGTTGAAACTGCAAATAAGAACATTAAGAAGATCCTTAGGAAAATGATTCAAAGTTCTAGACAATGGCACGAAAAGCTGCCTTTTGCATTGTTGGGATATCGCACAACCATGCAAACATCAGTCAGGGCCACGCCCTACTTATTAGTTTATGGCACTGAAACTGTAATACCTGCAGAAGTTGAGATTCCCTCTCTTCGTATCATTGTTGAAGCCGAGATCGAGGATGATGAATAGGTCAAAAACCGGTTGGATAGTTGACTATGATTGATGAAAGCGGATGGTCGCAGTTTCCCACAAGCAGTTGTACCAACAAAGGATGGCATGTGCCTACAACAAGAAAGTGCGACCCAAAAAACTTGAAGTGGGGAAACTTGTTCTGAGACATGTTCTCCCGCATCATGAAGAAGCCAAAGGAAAATTTGCTACAAATTGGAAAGGTCTGTACATTGTAAGAAGAGTGTTTCCAAAGGGAGCACTATATTTGGGAGACATCGAAGGAAATAATCCCGAGACAGCTGTCAATGTAGATGCGGTCAAAAGGTATTACGTTTGACTACTTTCACAACTTTAACATGCTCCGATTGGGATGGCAAAGGTTTTCTTTCTAACTATCCAAACACTTCCAATCCTTTGCAAACCCTTTAAGTCGTTTCCCTTTCTTTGATTACCCTCTTTGGAACCTAAAAGTGTTATTAAAAAAAATCAAAAACAAAGTTCTTTGAACTACGTTTGACATGATTTCGAGAGGATACATATGTAGCCTTTCTCTGGGGTTCAGTCACACCAAAACAAAAATACAAATTCCCCCAAAAGTGAAACTAGGGTAGATGTTATAATGGTTCGACGATGGTTTTGCCTGAAAAGTTCCAAAGTTGTAATTCTATCCAAATTCTTTTTACCCCAAATCTTGTTCAAGTCCTTCCGATCAATCGGAAAAGAGGTTCAAAATGGGAGGATATAGTTACTTGGATCTGATGCAATCAAATGAGAGACTCTTGTTGGTGAAAACCTTCGCGGGCACCATAAGATGATGGTAAGCAGAGAAATTAAAATGAGAGTCTTGTTAGTGAAAACTCGCAAAAAGAACTATAAGGAGATGGTGAGAAGAGAAATGAGAGAGGTCAGTTGGTGAAAACCTACAAAGGGCGCCACTGACCAGAAAAAGAGGATCCTCACAGTCACGGGCATTGACACAACCTTGGGCAAGGTTTCTTGGTTTCAAGACAAAAGTCGTGATGAATTTCTGAGAGTCGGACGGTTTACGCAGATCAAGTATCTAGTCCAAAAGGCATGTCAAGTTTAGTGAAGTTTGCATGTAGTCCAGATAAGTCCTTCTTTTCTTTCCCCGAAAGGGATACCTTTTGTCTATATTCATTGTCCATTCTATTGTTTGTGTTTCTTTGAATCTCTTTCAGTCTTACTCTGTTCCGAAACTAAGACAAAGAAGCGATGGTAAGATTGATTTACAGGGATTCTCATTTGATACAAGCTAATATGCAAGAGGCATCCAGCCTCGGCAGGGGCATCAAGTTGACTCCGACTGGCCATGGTGGCCGATGTTTTAAAATAAAAAGCTCTCGAAAGAAGGAAATCGAATTGAAGTGTCTATAAGGACGAAATGAAGTTGAAAAGTTTGTGTCCCACGTGATTAACCGTCTTGGCAAGGTTTGAAAAGTCAAGAATTCCCCAATGGTTTGAATTTAAAAATGGGAAGAAAGAAAATCAAATGCCCACGAAGGCAAAATAAAGTTGAAAAAGGTTAAGTCCCACATAACCAACTATCATGGAAAGGTTTCTAAAAGCTAGAAGTTTCTCCGGGGCCAGAAATGAAATCGGTCTTCAGAAAATAACCAGTTGCAAGTGAAATTATCATCAAAGAAGCCGGCCAAGATCAAGTGACTGAAACATTCAAGGCCACAAAACCAACCACCATTTAAACTGATAAATTATTCTTTTCATGAAAAATAGGAAACAGGTGCAATCCAAAGCAACCTTGCAAAAAGCAGGTGCAACCAAAAGGAAACCGCGCGGAGACTAATATAGCTCTGCAGCAATAACAACTCCAAAAAGGGAAGTCTTCTCCAAATTCTTTCCCGCATTTTACTCACTTTCTTAATAAAAAGAAGGGGAAAAATAAAGTTCAAAATCATGGTAGTATAGGGTAAACCAATCCTTAGCTACGTTTTTCCAACATAGGGTCCCCACTCCCTAGTTGATTTTTCTTTTAGACATAGGGTCTCCACTCTCTAGTTTTTTTTCCAATATAGGGTCCCCACTCCCTAGTTGATATTACTTTAGACATAGGATCTCCACTCCCTAGTCTCTTTTCCAACATAGGGTCTCCACTCCCTAGTTGATTTTATTTTAGACATAGGGTCTCCACTCCCTAGTCTCTTTTCTAGCATAGGGTCTCCACTCCCTAGTTGATTTTATTTTAGATATAAGGTCTCTATTCCCTAGTCTCATTTTCCGACATAGGTTCTCCACTCCCTAGTTGACTTTATTTTAGACATAGGGTCTCTACTCCCTAGTTGCTTGTTCAGCATAAGGTCTCCAATCTGTAGTTGACTTTATTTCTAGGCATAGGATCTCCACTCCCTCTTTTTTCCAACATAGGGTCTGCACTCCCTATTTTACTTTATTTTAGACATAGGATATTCACTCCCTAGTCGCTTTTCCAACATAGGTCTCCACTCCCTAGTTGATGTTCTTTTAGACATAGGGTCTCCACTCCCTAGTCTCTTTTTCCAACATAGGGTCTCTGTCACGACCCAAATTCTATTATAGGTCGTGATGGCGCCCAACATCGTTGTTAGACAAGCCAACCCTAATCAACTAGTGAGTTCCCAATTATTTCACTAAACAATCCCGACATTTACTTAACTTAATTTAAAACATTCGACGATTAACAAATTCATAACAATAGATATACAACCCAAAAGTAATAGTCTACTAATGTGTGTGCCAGGAACTAGTGTCACAAGTACGAGGGCAACTAGTAGAATGTACAAAAGAATAAAACTATCCTACTGCCTGAAACAGAATAGACAGTAATAACAAAAGGAGAGACTCCGGCATGCTGTTGAACAGCTCAGAAGGGGCAGCTCACCGTGGAATCTCGGTCAAGTATCAGGAACGCGCGCCAGACTGGTAGCTAGATGAACCTACCTCAGATCCTGTACATTTAAGTGCATAAATAATATGTACCCAGTATGTATCATGTCTAACCTCGAAAAAGTAGTGACAAGGGGTCGACTTGACACTTACTACGGTCAACAATAATATAATTTAAGTGTTACGCTAAGCATGGATGTCATGAATAAATAACAGTTGATAACAGGAAGTTACATGTTCTTTCATAGATAATATTTCAGCTAAAAATCTATATTCCAAGGCATTTTAAAGCAGTTCAAATCACAGGAAGTACTGAGCAAATAGCATGTGCAAATAATGTTTAGGTCGTACAGCCCGATCCAACATAAAAATAAAGTGTGCATCGCCGGAGGGTGGAACAACGTGAACCATAGATGCATATATTACCCCTCTCACGAATCATACATGCGACGCGGTCAAATACAAATAAACATACAAACAATCATTCAATAATTTATCAGGAAAACAATTATCCAAAGTAATGTCGAACTTCTCTTTAACTGTCAAGAAAATGATGTTTAACTTTTTAGAAATTCATTTTCCAAGTTCGATATGATTTATGCAATTTAAATTAAAAATAGAGTTACAAATACAGCAAGTAAAGCATGCTTTTGGGTCCTAAGCTACACATGGGCGCTCGTCACCTCGTGCATACGTAGCCCCCGCAATTAGAGGCACGTGTTCAATTATTACTCCTATGGGGAAAATTCCCTCTTACAAGGTTAGAAAGGAGACTTATCTTGCCCCGAAGCTTACTTCCAAATTCAAGAATGCGCTCAAAACCTCAAATCGGAGTCGAACGATCCAAAACTATTCAAATGGGGTAAGAACTAGTCAATACATGCTCAAGATTTCATATTCTAACTATTAAACTATTTTCCCAACCCTAAATGCAAGGTTCCTAAAATTCATCCTCGGGCCCACGTGCCCGGATTCTAGAAAGTTTTGAAGAAAGTTGTTACTCATAAACTAAGGATCAAGAATATATGATTTCTTCTACATTCCATAATAAATTTCGTGGTTAGATCTTGTTTTTACCAAAACCCTAGGTTTTACTCTAAACCCATAATTTTCACTAATTTACATGGTGTGATCTACCCCTAAACTATGTATTAAACTCACATTAAGTAGAAATAACTTACCTCACAATGCTAGGCTGAAATCTCCCCTTTGGAAGCTCCCAAATCGCCCAAGAAATGAATGAAATGTGTCAAAAATGACACATTACCGTATTAAATGAAGGCATTGCCTTCAGCGATTTCCGTACCTACAGTTAGGGGACTGCATCTGTGGTCTTGCTTCTGCAAGGGATTGTCCGATTCTACAGAATTGGGCCGGGTTAGCTGGGGCCGCATCTGCTGTCTGGGGACCGCTTCTGCGGTTCTGCTTCTACGGAAGAGGAGCCGCATCTACGGAACCTGGGTT